TTCTCTCATTTGCAAAAGCTTCTCAAACTCTCTCAAACTATCATCAATTTCCACCATTCTTGATCTGTTCTTCATCATCATCATCCAAGGATCAGAATTCACACATTCATTTGGAAAATTGAAGGAGGAATCGTGCCATTCATCATCATCATTCAAAGTGCAAGAATCTTGGAATTAGGAGAGTCAAAGCCTTGGAGCATCATTGGTTGCATACAGAACTCATCTCCAAGTTCACTGATCAGTTTCAAATCACTGCAAGCATTGGATCAAGGAGTTCCATAGCTGTTTTCACCATTTTGCACCAGGTTAGTTTCTCTTCGAATTGGCTGAATTAGCTAGAATCATAGATAGTTATTAGGTTAGAATGGTTAAGCATAGTTAGATGATTGATTTTGGTGAGTTTGAAGAAGTTCCATGAAGGTTGTTAATGGTGCATCAAAACTGTTGAAGCTTGTAACTCATAGGATAATGCATGATAATCTTGGATCCTTAGCTCAAATTGATCAGCATAAGGTGTAGATTAGATTAGGGTAAAGATTGGAGAGAATTGAGATGGTTGATGACAGGTGATATTGATGGATTCATAATGTTACACTCATCGAGTTTGATTATTGGTTGAGTTTTAGAAAGAATTATGGACATGGCTGTGTAGAGGGAAGAATTTAAAGCAACTTTGCTCTTGGCATCGTGTGGATTCATGGAGAAACAAGGGAGAACGAAGGTCTGGAAAATGCATGCATGGAGGTGGAATTTCAGAAACCCTAGAAGTTATTTGGGGACGATGATGGATAGCCGTAGGATCTGGTGTTTGACTTGGACCTGAGAGTTAATCCAACGGCCTTGGTTTAAAGATGAAAACGGAGGGAAACCCTGAAGGACTAAACGCATCGTTTCATTAATGTTTTCAGGATGGGCTTTGGATATCCTTGCTAATAGCACCCTCCCAATCAGGCCCAAAGCTAAAATGAACTAAAGTCTTTACTATCTGCACCGTTTTTCGTTTTTTTAATTTTTATTATGTTTTCTGACTTGCATTGGGCCCAGACGCGCTTGCTATGCGCGCCCCCCAGTCTGGGCCCAGTTTATTCTTTTAACTGATTTCTCCTGCTTGCTGCACCCCCTTTCTCAATTAATTCATTTAATTTTTCTCAATTCATTTTAATTCTTTAAAAATTCATAGAAAATAGAAAAAGGCTAGTTTTTAATTGGTTGTTTTTTCACATTACTCATAATTTTGTCAAGAAAATTATCATACAAAAAAATTAATAGTTATTTTTATTTTCATATTTTTGGCATATTTTCCTTTTAATTAGGTGTAAATAATATTTTGTTTAGTACATGAATTTGTTAATTTTTGTTCTAATAGTTGCTTTAATATTTTTCACCCATTCTTTCTAGGTTGATTAGTAGATAAGATTAGCTTGTATATACAATTTAGTTCACATTTTTAGGACTTAATTTTAGGTGATTAGTTTAGGTGAGAACAACATGAACAAAATTAGGGTTTAAGTGATGACTTAGGAGAATTGAATCATTCCCCTTAGGACTTAGAGATTGAATATTTTAGATATGGGACTATAGGGACTATGGGTAGTTATTAGATCCCTTAGAAAATGTTAGGATTCCCCTACTGCTATTAATATACTACTGTATTTGTTTGACTGGTGTGGTGTGCCCTCTGGGGATTATTGTTTGTCTGTATGGGTATTGGGATTGCTTGGGGATTGGGAGAGCTGAAGACTTGTGATGATGAAGCCATTGGAGATCCAGAGACTGAAGTCCAACTTCCAGAGTTGAAGAGGAGATTCTTGCTAGTAGCTGTTGAGGAGACTAGGGTTTAGGAGCTAGGCAGAGCTCTAGATTAGAAAGCTTGTTTCTCAAACATGGAGTGCCTTGTCTGCATCCATCCTTTCCCTATGATTCAAAGTCTCTTTCAAATATCCACCTCCTTCCTTTGGAAGGATCAGTGAATGTATTTGAAAGATAGAACTTTTGAGGGAAAATTTTCTATATAATGTTAACAGTTAATGAACCACCCTTGGTAGGTAATTGACTGTCTAACATTCATTCCCTTCATCTGGTTGACTGATGTTCCTCTTGGAGATTGAGACTGGAAGAAAAGCCATTGCAGATGGAAGATTGATGATCAAGACCTTGCTGGAAGGCTGTGGAGATAGAGATTGATGCTTGCTGAAACTTGTAGCTGATTGGAGATGACTTGAAGACTGATGTGGTGCAGAGCTGCTGTGGCTGTTTATTTTTGCTGTATTTCATTTCTGATGTATTGATTGGTTTTCCTGGCTGTATTGTTTGCTATTAACCTGTTGGGTTGAAAGTGAAGTCTGTTCACTTTTGCCTATTGTTTTCCAGGTTCGAGGTTGAGTGGGACTCCCTTGTCTCGCTTGTATTGCTGCATCCATGCATTTTACCGCTTTACTGTATATATCTGTTATTGTTTCTGTTTCCGTCTACTCCCTTAGGATCTCTGTTTCTCTCTGCGCAAGAGAGGAGCATGATAGACTTTAGGTCTTAACCCATGCATGATAACATTAGGTTAGTTTGATTCCCTTCGCAACCGTAGGTTAGAGTTCTGTCTCTTCTTTCTCAAAACAAACAGAAAATACAATAAGATTTCAAACACAATAAAAGACACTTCTTCCGTAAAAGAATGTGAACTCATCAAGACGTCATTTTTGTCCGCTTGGACTGCTAACCAGAAAAACTTTTTTTCAGAAGGAATAAAATCAATCAAGACAAGCTTGTGTCGTACGAGGCCCGAACTACGTTTGCTCTGATCTTCCATGCAGTGTGGAAGTACGTAGGCATAGGATGCGATATCCTAGCGAGCAACCTTCCCCTCCTTTCCCGTAGGTAGGCGAACTACGTTGACTCTGATTTCTCGTTCCAGACGGGAATACGTAGGCATAAAGTGCGATACTTTGCCGAGTCATTTTCTTTTCTTTTTAACCCCTGACCCTGTAGAGTAGATAGAATAACAATTCATACCCGAAAACAAGCGTGGATCCCGTCGAGTACGACGGACGTGAGGGGTGCTAATACCTTCCCCTTGCGTAACCGACTCCCGAACCCAGGTTTTGGTTGCGACGACCATACCTTTCCCGTGTTGTGCAAGGTTTACTCTGAGCGTTTCCTTTCCCTCCCGTGGGATAAATAACGCACGGTAGCGACTCTTTTGTTCAGCCGGCGCCGATTTTCGCAGTAGCGACAAATATGATATTTTATACTTAAACGATTTATTTTTAGTAGAAATGTAGGTAGCGGGTACAGATATGGGTACTTACATGCCCATAGGACACGGGTACAAGTGCTAACTTTAGCATCCAAGCGGGTATGAGTTCGGGTACGAGAATTTTTTCAAATCGCGGGTATGGGGATGGGTACTATAGTACCCTACTCAAACCCTGTCGATTGACATCCCTAATCACCTCGGTTGTGTGTCCCGTAAAATCACTTCGGTTGATGGGAATTAAACTAATGACATGTACCATTTTTCTCTTCGGTTGGGACTTACAACAAGGGGAAAAGGGGTGTGCTTCCCATTTTTCCCCTTAGCCTTTCTCCTGTGTAAAGTGTAACACACTTTCCATAATACTCTTTGTTACTTTGCCCCCTAACTGAGGTAAAAGCAACCGAGGCAAAATTCCTTTTTTTTGTTGTAGTGTTTGAGCACCTTGCTAAAATTAGATAACATTTTTGATAAGTTAGAAACAATTGTCTGTTGTATTAGCAAAGAAAAAATGTCATAAGGTGAAAATATTTATAGTTTGTGATGCTACAAACTGTGTATGAAAGAAATTCACATGAATCTCTCATTTCTCTCTTTTTTTTAAAGAGTGTGTTTTCTTGCAAAATTATAATCATTATAGAATCATACCAATTATTTAAATGACAGCAATAGCAAATTTATTAAAAGAAATGGTGATGCATATTAAACGGTTAAGATATCATTTTCAAATTAAAAACAATTGTCTATTGTGTTAGAAAATAAAATATGACATGAGGTGAAAATAATAGTGGTTTGTGACTCTGCAAAGCGCGTATGAACGAAAGTCACATGAATCTATTATTTTTCTCCCTTTTTCATTATAAAGAGTGTGTTTTCTTCCAAAATTATAATCGTTGTAGAATCATACCAATTATACACATGACAACAAAAAATATTATAGCAAATTTATTAAAAAGGAACGATGATATCATTTTTAAGTTAGAAACAGTTGTCTATTGCGTTAGCAAAGAAAACGTGGCGGCAGGTGAAAATAATAGTGGTATGTGACTCTGCAAAGCGTGTATGACCGAAAGTCATATGAATCTCTCATTTTGCCCGCATTTTCTGAATAAAGAGTGTGTTTTCTTACAAAATTATAATCAAAATCATATCAATTATATACATGGTAACAAAAATATTATAACAAATTCATTAAAAGGAAGGATGACGCATATTGGACGGTTGAGATATCATTTATTAAAAGAAATGATGACGCATATTGAACGATTGAGATATCATTTTAAGTTTCCGTGTCGTATGGGAAATGCTATAAAATTAATTAAATCATTTAAAATAACAAAATCATATATAAGATTTTCTAGAATATGTTATAAGTATTATTAAAAAAAGAGTAAATTATGTTACAAGTTGCACAAACACTCTCATTTTAAATAAATTATTATTATATATTACACTATACTCATTAAAAAGATCAATCTCTCATGAAAAGTGCAAGACTTTGTTATGCATGAATCTCATTTTATATTTTATATTTTATTTTAAAATTGATTTTTGCATCTTTTTCTTGCTTTAGTGTGTGTATATATAAGACATAAGTTGCTCAATCCCTTCAACAACTTCATTATTTACATACATTGGTTTAGGAGGTTGAATAGGAAGAAACCTTTGAGGTTTCTTAAATTCTTATAGCCAGCCCTAAACCTAAACCTATTGTGCTATTTTGTTCAAAATCCAAAGAAGACCCAAACAAGACATGGATTTTCATAGTCATTTGGCTTTAGCTTTTGGCATACTAGGTAATTTAGTTTTTATGCAAAGTTTTAAATTGTCATGATTATTAATTTGAATCCTCTGTTCTGCTTCAGTCGAAGTTTTCACCCATTCACACTGTCTAGATGATATTAACTGCTTGATCTAGATGGTGTTAAGAGTTTATCTTGATCATTTAGTTCACACAAAATAATTTTATTTTCCTCAAAAACATCTATTTTAAATCAGAACTGTTTCGATCTTGATTTTGATCATGATTAAACAGTCAGATATACTTGAATGTCTGACTGCAAATTTTGTTGATTACAATAAATCTATTGATTATGACGTGACATTCCTTTGATGTTTAGGTAATGTCATTTCCTTCATGGTGTACTTGGCTCCTATGTAAGTAAACATCAAGAAAAATCTTAACTTTTTTATTAAAAATATTATATCAATTTAATTATGTAATGTTGTAAATTAAACTGAAAATGTTAATTGTTTTCTTTGATAAATTTGCAGGCCAACATTTTACAGAATTTGGAAAGTGAAATCAACTGAAGGTTTCCAGTCTTTGCCCTACTTGGTGGCTTTATTCAGTTCCATGCTTTGGCTATATTATGGTCTGCTCAAGACAAATGCTACATTCCTCATCACCATTAATTCATTTGGATGTGTTGTTGAGGCTATTTACATTATCCTCTACACAATCTATGCCACCAAAAATGCCAGGGTATATTCTATTCACCAATCAAATTTTGTTATCATTTTTAATTTTTTGGATTTTTTACAACCGAGTGTATGGTGCAACCGACTTTAAACCGTCGTTAAATTAGATTATGAAAGATAATTTTCTCTCTATTTGGATTTAATGGTCTTTAAGTCAGTTGCACATATAATTGATCGGTTTGTTTTATAAAATAAATATATATTATTGAAGATTAAAACATAGTTAAAATTATTTGAATTTAAAAAATATATATATTTATTTTAAAATTTTATTATAAAAAAAGTATTTATGGTAAAATGATGAAACATTTAAAGTAACATTTTACATATAACTATAAATGCCAATTTTTCATTTGAATTTTTTTTTATTTTGAAATTTTTTTAAACAAAAATATATAACATTAAAAAAATCATTTAAAAAAACATCCAAAACAAAAAAAAAAGCCCAAAATTGAATATAAAAAAATGTAAATATTTAATTTATTAAGTGATCAGCATAAATACATTTATTTCTTTAAATGAGAAACATAGACTAGCAATTTGATTAAATTTAGATTATTTATTTTGACTAAAAAATTACATTTGCTTTATTTAATTTTATTGGGATTTTTAAATTAAAAATATTGTATTTTTTATTTTAAAAATGCTATTAGAGAAAGTTGAATTAACCATATAAAGAAGAAATATCATATGGCCATTATTTTTAATGTCAAAACAACATATTTATTATATGTTTTAAATACAATGTCATATTTATACAATTTTTTCTCTTTCTTTAAATCACATCAACAATTACAAAAAATGGTTTTTTTATAGAATATTTAATACAATGTCATTGTTCTAGATGTTTAAATTATATGACTCCAAAAAATTAGAGAAGAAAATACATAAAATCCCTCCAATTTTTTTGTTATTTAAATATATGTTTTAACTATTCAAATAATAAGCCCTTATAATTTTATAATTATTGCAACACCATTTATGCTTTTCAATTTCTATATGTTAAACATGACATGATCATAATACATAACTTTTAATTGCAGATCTTAACCCTGAAAATATTCATGGTGATGAATGTGGTCTCTTCTGTGTTGATAGTTGTCACCATCCAATTTGCTCTGCGTGGTTTCCTCCGAGTCACTGTCCTTGGATGGGTTTGCACAACTTTTGCAATTTGTGTCTTTGCAGCACCTTTAACCATTGTGGTGAGTCAAAGAAATTATAATTGTTTAAGTATTTTTGAAGTTTTATTATGGTGAGTGAAAAATATTCTAATTTCCATTTCAAATAATTTCTTGATTTGTAGGCAAAGGTTATCAAAACTAAGAGTGTTGAGTTCATGCCATTCAATCTGTCACTTTTCCTCACACTAAGTGCTATAGTGTGGTTTTCTTATGGTCTCTTCCTCAAGGATATATGCATTGCGGTAAGTATATTTAAACATCTTTGATAAGTACTTTGTTTATTTTAAAACCGCTTTTTTAGCTATAAGGTAGGGGTGACAAACAGACATGACCGTCCTACAAAAATCCGCAAAATATGAAACATAGCAGGGTAGCATTGTTGGGCGGCTTGCGGACACTGACAATACATCTTTAAAGTGTAACAATTGCAAAATTTATGTCAATGTTCATATCCGTAAAAATCTTTTAAAACAAAACAGGACGGGCATATTAGGATATACATAACTAAGATCCCGCTATTTTCTGCAAAAAAGTGTAGGTAAAACAGACATGTTCGGCGGCCTAAACTGATTTGCCATCCTTACTCTGAGACCTGACCTAACCCTAATTATTTTTGTTGTTGTCTTATTTGCAGTTACCAAATGTGTTGGGTTTCGTATTGGGACTATTTCAGATGATACTATATCTTATTTATAAAAACAAAGCCACAGCTCCAAAGGAAGAATTTGAACTAGAGCAGGGAATGACAAACGTTGTTATATTGAGTCCAATGGGAATCCTAATGTCATCTCCATCTCCACTCAGAGAAAGAGTGAGCAAACAAAATACAGAAGGTGTAGAAGAGAATAACAAAAACGTGGAAGTTGTTGTGGTGAACTCATGTGAAGTAATCTCATCTCCACTTTTAGACAAAGTGAAGAAACAGGGAAAAGAAGGTGTGGAAGAGAAGAAGAAGAAAAGCGTGGGAACTTCAGCATGATATAGATATATGCATGAATGTTGTTTGTTGCATTGAAGGATATGGTTGGGTTTCTTATTATGATATATGAATATTTATAATATAGTTTTATGTCTACAACTCTTTATCGTTGTATCATTTATATAATGATATTGTAAGGAGTTTCTTATTATATATTTATATATAATGATATTGTATGGAGTATCCTTGAACTTCTATGAATAAGTTTTCTGCTTAAAAAAAGTTTCATGATGATAATTTTTCTGCCTAAGATGATAATTAAATGGTGAGGATTTACCTACCTGTAAACACATGATCGATTAAATGTGATAGCAGTAAACACATGTTAAAGATATATAGTGTCTAATGTGACATGTTAAAGATATATAGTGTCAACAAATTATTTGAATACTAATTTATTGCTTTCTAAATTTTCCTTTCATCCCATTGTATGCATTTCTACTGAGAAATTTCAAGTCTTATATTAGTTAGATATATAGTTTGAAAATGATTTATATCCAGTGATACTTTTCACTTTATAATAGTTAGACATGTAAAATTGGTTTGTAAGGTGAAGGTGAGTGGTATCACTCTATATATACAATTTTTATACTCTATGTATAATTAATGCGGAACTTGCGATCTTTCTAATACACTCCCTAACGCCCAATAATTTTTTAGACTTGATGCAAGGACATAAACGGTGGGCGGCCTATCTGAGTGATAGACTCTTATACCATATTAGAGTTTAGCATAACTCATCATACAAAACCAACTTTAAAGTTGATTTTTAAAGTAATAGGTAATTAGGTATCACTCTATTAAGATAATAGCTTTAAATAAATTAGAATAATCCAAACCCAAATCCCTTTGCCAGGGATTCCTAAACTAATGTCACATGTCTGCCTCTTTGCCAAGTAACATAGTTAAACACGAATGAAGTTGATGGAAAATAATTCTCAAGGGAACATGCCTCGGCCAATTGTGATTCAAAAAATCAAAGAAAACACCATTTCTTAGATTACACGAGATAGTATCAGAGAACCAACCATGCCCATCAACATAAGAATTACACACATTCCTCACACCTCTCCACCAAAGTGAATGCCTCTTAGAATTTCCAAAGAAACCAACACCTTAGAAAATGGACAGAAACTCACTGTACATGAAGTTGAGAAACTCAGACCAGATGATATTTGGTTCAGATAAGCATCTCCAACCCCACTTGCTAATTAGAGGCTTGTTGAACTTCTCACAATGCTTACCTTTCAAGCCACCATCCTTCTTAATCATGCAAACCCTGTCCCAATTCACCTAATTTATCTTCCTTGCTCCTTCCACTCCTCCCCAAAGAAAATCCCTCAATAACTTGATTATCTAATCCAAAATAGATCTATAAGCCTTAAAAAAAGACAACATATAGATATGCATATTAGTCAAAATTGCATTGAACAAGACCATTTTACCTCCCAAAGATAAATGTTTTCTTGTCCAACTAGAGAGCCTGCTATTGAGTTTAGCTAGAGTAGGAATGCAAGTATCCCTTCTTATAGAATTGGCCAAAACGGGAATACTACGAAAGCAGATTAAAAAAATTCTTCCTTCAAGTTGATGCCAAACAACTTACTTTTATGCATATTAATACACAAACCAGATGATCACTCAAAGCCTCGGAGAATTAACTTCATGCACAACAAGTTAGACCAAGAGCCATCACACAAAAGGATTGTATGATATGCAAATTATAAAAGCTCAAAGTGAATGGAATCATTTCCTTGAAAACAATGAAAATCTCCAGCTTGACAAGCATTCTTCATGAAACTTACTAGACCCTGAACAACGAACAAGAAAAGGAAAATGGATGAAATTCTGGTATGCAGATCTCAGATGTCGTAAAAGATACTAAGAACATTGATCTCTGCTAAAATAGAACAAGGACAGAACATGACCATTTTGAAATTTCTTTACAAATTCACAATGTCATGACATCTGTTGTAACATCTGCAGACTGACAAAACTACTAGTAACAGACAATCGATGTTATAACGGATGTTATGACATCCTCTTCTGAACAGATTATTAAACACGTAATGAAAGCAGTAAAGAACACAGGGAATTGTTTACCCAGTTCGGTGCAACATCACCTACATCTGGGGGATACCAAACCACGAAGAAAATCCACTATTAGCATAATCAATTCAGAGCTAAACTCCCCCGTTTACAACCCCTCACTTAATCTCTATCCAATGCAATTTATGCCTAGAACCTACTAGACAAGAGACACCTCTCACTCCCCACAATCACAGCAGTGATAACCAATTCAATACAAAAAGGAAAGACTTTAGAAGACCCTCTTCAAAGTCACAACCTAATCTTTGCTTAAAAGTTTCAATCAAGAACAATGCACTCTTGCTTAAAAGCTTTGAGTGAACAATTAACAATTGACAAATAACAACTAACAACCACAATATGTATACCACAATGCATCCAAAGATACAAAGGGTGACTTACAAGGTCACACACAAAAGACTCTCAAACCCCTAAACCCTTATTTTACACTCTAGTTTTTCTTGTTGTGAGTGCTTGATTTCCCTTGCTTTTGCGCCTCCTTAAATAGTAATGCAGATTGGGCTTGGGCTGGTCAAAAGTAACATAAATTAGGTTTAACCAAGTTAAACCACTTTCCATAATTCAAGGTGCTATCAAATAAGTCATAGGCATTTTATGATAAGCTCAGCACTGCCTAGAATCTTGTCTGAGATAACTAAGGAACCCTAACAGGTTTCCTGAAATCTAGCATGAGCTTACTCATGCATTATAACAGAAAACTAACATGCGTCCTTGCTGTCAGCTACCTGATGTCATGACATTCAGTATGAAATTCAATTCACTTTGTGCCAGCTAACTAAACTTACACTGTAGAGCACTTTTGCATAATCTTCTTCATAACAATAGAAACAAATGTTTTATAGTTTCCTAAAAAGTCTCAAAGATCCTTTTTATGAACACCAATTAAATTTGTACTTTGTTCTTAATAAATCTCTTTGGCATGCACATATTGATGAGGCATATCCAACAGGATCTCATCAAACCAAAACACCTATGTCAAGAGATATAAAATAGCAGCTCCTACTGTACCAGACAGCGATGTCATGACATCTGTCTTGACATCTTGATTATAACACATGACAGCAGTTCTGTCATAACAGTAGATGATGATGTTATGACATCTTGCTTAACATCAGTGCAGAATCATGTTTTACCAAAATTTAGCCAATCATAGAACCATGGACACTCATAGGATCACGGAACTAACTGTCTCCCCCTTTGGCAAATTTTGTCTAAAACAACCAAACAAACTTATCAGGGCAGCAACATGCTCCCCCTTAATAGTTCATCCAGCAAGCAACAATAAAACACTACTCTTCCCTTAGCAGTAGCATTAACACTTCACTCCCCCTTTGTTTAACCAAAAAATTGACAAAAATTGGAGTAAATATATGCACATATAACCTCAGATGCACACATCAAACAACATTAGACTATAAGCACCAAGTCATGGACATAGATTACTTTTCCTTCTACCCTTTTTCACAGATCCATCACTAGCTGAGACAAAACTATTCTTCACCAAGCTATCATACATCATGCTTCATCATGATGAGAAACAACCCCCGCAGTATAAACTCCACATAGATTTACCCTATGAGCATAGTCATTGAATCTTGAGTTCTTGTCTTGTCTGAAGCTGCACCTTCAGGAATGACACTTTTGACATCACTAATTAAAGGATAATCAATTAAATACTTGCCACAAGTAACAATTGATTTTAAATCCCCAATTTGAGACACATACAAATCCTGCAAAGAGAAATAAATTCTCCCAAACAATAACCAATGTTGTTTCCTAAGTCATTCATAAGAAGTAAGCACAAACTTAGTTCCAAACAACAATCTCACAAAGCCAGACCCGTAGTCACATTGTCAAGGAAAAAAGGTACACCAGCCAGCACAATGTCAAGACATCTTGTCTGACATTACAGCTTCATCAATGGTCAAATATCATAAGCTTGCTTGAGACTCAGCAAACTTTGTACACAGCTCCATATCAGCAACTACACATCAGACAGGTACACATCTTCCCCTGTCATGCATAAACAGTACTCCCTTTGAAAGAGAGAATCCAACCACATGAAGACTTACTTCAACATCTTCATATTCACACACTGGTAGCACATGCAACTTTACACCCCTTGTTTCACAAACCACACCAGAGCCAAACCTTATAGGAGAGGTAGTCACATGATAGACATGGCTATCTACAAGATCACCCAGATTCAGCTAGAAAATTCTCTAAGATGTCAGGGTGAATGGCATGTTTCCTATATGCATATAATCAAAATTGATGTTGTCTTCATCTTTATCTTCACCAGTCATAAGCCAAACTACTTGGATAGAAGCCCAAAAATTTGATTTGATTCATTGATACCCAATGAAAGAACAAAAAAACACTGTCAGGTTCACCATGAGCATAATGTCACAACATCTTGTTTGACATTCCATCCTCCTAGAGACATATAATCACAAACTGCTTGAAAAATAATTGCAACAACAAATCCCAGATAAAAGTATAACTCCTCATATCAAGGATAACTGTCGCTTGCGCGAAAATAAGGTGCCGACATGACAGAAGAGTCGCCACCTTTCGTTATTTATCCCTCAGAGCGGGAAAGGAAACGATCGGAAAAAACCTGACGAATAAGGGTAAGACAAGGTCATCGCAACCATTGTCTGGGTTCGGGAGTCGGTTACGCAAGGGGAAGGTGTTAGCACCCCTCACGTCCGTCGTACTCGACGGGATCCTCGCTTGTTTGTTTACTTGGACGGGTTGGTTATAATCTATCTACCTATCAAGGCTGGCTGAAAAAGAAAAGAAAAATGACTCGGCAAAGCGTTGCACTTTATGCCTACGTATTCTCATCAGAGAATGAGAAATCAGAGTCAACGTAGTTCGGCCTACGG